TCTCTCTCTCTCTCTCATATGTATCCCACTATGGAAAACAGTATGGAGGTTTCTCAAAAAATTAAAACTAGAATTATCATATGATCCAGCAATCCTCACTCCTGGGAATACATCAAAAGGAAATGAAAACAGGGTATTAAAGAGTTATCCACACTCTCATGTTCATTGCAGCAATATTCACAGTAGCCAAGACATGAAAACAACCTTTGTTCATCAATGGATAAATGGGGGAAAATGTGCTATATATACACCAAATAGCTTCTTAGGTAAGGGTAAATGGAAGGAAGATAAAATTTTGAGATTTTGCATGTTTAAAAATGTCTTTATGTTACTATTACACTCAGTGAATAGTTTGTCTTGGTATAGAATTTTATGTTGAAAATAATTTTCTCCATAATTTAAAAAGTATTATTCCATTATCTTTTCATTTTAGTGATGCTAATGAGAAATTCAACATAGTCCTGATTCTTGAACCTTTGGATATGTGCTGCCCAGAGATATTTAGAATCCCCACCTTAAAAAAATTTTTTTTCTTTATTGATTTTAGAGAGAGAGGAAAGGAGAGGAGAGAGAGAGATAGAAATGTTGATGAGAAAGAACATCGATTGGCCACCTCTTGCATGCCCTCCACTGGGGATTGGGCCCATAACCTGGGCATGTGCCCTGACTGGAAATTGAACTGGCGACTTCTTGCTGCATGGGTCAACATGCAACCACTGAGCCACACTGGTCACCCCCCCACCCCTTTTTGCAAGTGTTCTAATATTTTACTATGATATCCTCAGTGTGAAGTTTTCTGATTATAGGGCTGGGCACTTGGTGGGCCTTCTTACTATGGCCACTCAGTTTCAGAGAATAATAATACATTTCATTGATAAAATCCTCCCCTTAGTTTCCCTGTACTCTTTGAGATACTCATGTTACTTAGATGTATCCCTGGAAGGGTCATCCAATTTTCCTTTTCTGTCTTATTTTCCATCTCTTTTCTTTTTTTCCTACTTTTTAGGAAATTTTCACCATTTTATCTCTCCTTTGTTTTTTTTGTTTGTTTGTTTTTTTACTCTGTTGTCATATTTTTCATAACTATAATTTTTTTCTATATCTATTCTTATTTATGGCTGAGGCACTAAAAATATGTATAAGCTCTGTATATGTGTAAGTGGTTTGAGTTTATTGACTGGTGGACTCACTTTAAGGTAACTGGGTGGAAACTTAGTTATTTTAGTAGTTAAAGCCAAAGTTTCTGGATGGATGGATGGATAGATAGATAGATATATTTTTTTTTTGGGCCATCTACCTTCTCCATAAAAGCATCTTCTAATCTTGTCCTTTCAAGAAAATAAGCCCATCTATCAGCATTTATTTAACAAATTTTCACTTAATTCCCTGGTTCTGTTTCCAGTAAAGCATCTTGGCTTCACCCTGAACTGGCCCAATTGCTCCAGACGTGAACCTCTGACATGGACTTTGAAGTACCTTGAAATGCTAATCCCAAGGCTTCAGTAACAAAAATATGAGGATCCAACTGCTGCTCTTTGAAAGGAGTAATGGATTCAAATTCAGACACTAGGGACTTGAGTGCTAGCTCTTCCTAGGCTTGTCCTTAGGATCAAGTGACATAATATATTAGAAACATTCTGCTAACTAAAAAGCACTTCATAAGTCTTAGGTATTATTAATAAAAGTGTGACATTTGGGCAGGTATTCAAAATGCTAGTGAGAGCTGTTTTCTTTTCCCAGACTGCTTCACTTGAAATGAAAAGTTAATTTAAATGAATCATGCAAATATATTGACACAGCTAAATTTGCTGTAAGCTGTTGGGATGGGTTTTAAGCTTTTCCATAAAACCCTGGAATGCTGGTTAATTTAGTTGTCTTGCCAACCAAATGAAAAAACAATTTGGGTATTTCAGTGCCCTCTTAGAAAGATAGTTGCTCTGGCTTAAAACTAATGAGATTGCTCTTGATCTTGATGCTTTGTGTGTTCAGCAAACCAAGGCAGGTTTATTGAGTAAGAAAATAAATGGATCAGCAAATGAAGCTTGCTTTTCAAACTAGTGCATCCTTAAAAATACATTTCTATAATATATAATCAAGGTTTAAAGCCCTGAATTCTGGCTAAGGGTCATCAAGGAAGAACAGTGAATACATTTAATTATATTATTATTCCTATGGCTAATCAGTAAATTAAATGCATCTGGATGGGGGAAACAATTGCTTTTTAAATTAGTAGATTCTACTTTGACTCCTGAAACTATGATTAGATTTTAAAGCTTCTTGAGTGTTTCAAGCCTTTCATTTTTTTCTTACCCTTTTTAATTCGCACCCAAGGATGTGTTTCCATTGATTCTAGAGAGAGAGAGAATGGGAGAGGGAAGGAGAAAGAGAGAGAGAGAGAGAGAGAGAGAGAGAGAGAGAGAGAGAGAAGAAAAGAGAAGAGAAGAGAAGAGAAGAGAAGAGAAGAGAAGAGAAGAGAAGAGAAGAGAAGAGAAGAGAAGAGAAGAGAAGAGAAGAGAGAAACATTAATGTGTGAGAGAAATATTGATTGGTTGCCTCCTGCATGCTCCCCGACTGAGGACTGAACCTACAACCCAAGTATGTACCCTGACCTGGACATCAAACCCATGACTCTCTGGTGTATGGGACAACTGAGCCACACCGGCCACTGCTCAAGCCTTTCACTTTACCGTCTTTTTTGTTTCGAACAACACATGAGCTAAAATTTTAAGTAAAAGAAAAATGAATGATTTAACACCATTGTTACTCCACATTTGTACAAGTTCTATTATTGATCACAATATGTTACATAACTGAGTTCCATAAAATAAACTTCTTGATTTCCAGGCAAAACTGTTCAGTCAGCCTCTTCTCTACCTTTTATGAGTTACCTATGAGGAAGACCTTGTCTTGATTTGGCTGTGGACATATAAATGTCTCTGGTCCAATGATTTGTTGCAGGAGTAGTAGTTTATTTTCAAGTTCAGTTGGAAATTGTTTTTGCACACTTTAGTAATTGATAATGAAAAGTTAGATTAGGAAAGTTCCTCCTACTGGTGTCTATATCTGCCTTGTGCAATACGATAGCCAACAACTACATATAGCTATCGAACATGAAATGGGGCTAGTGTCACTGAGGAACTGACTTTCTAAATTTAAACAGCTACATACAGCTAATGGCTACTGCAACGGGCAGCACACTCTATATCATCACAAGGAATACATGCATACAAGTTCCTCAGAGGGCTCACTTTTTAACAGACTAGCTAGTATTCTAGGATTAAAAATATATGTATTAATATCCAGATGTATCAAAGATCTATACACAGAAGTGGTTATATTTTGAGTGTTGAATGAGAAAATGTACAATGAAAGCCAATAAATAACTTAGTAAGGGTCTTAAATAAATTTGAACTTTAGTCATGATCAAGTAGTTGATGTATGTTTCCCTAAGTGCCAGGGATTGTTGCTGGGTGGATGTAAGGAACCCATGAAATAACTTCTACATCCACAGGTTGAAAAACATTGCTCTGGAATCAAATAACTGATAGGATAATTAAAATATAAAAATAGCAGGGAGAAAAGTTCTTTAGAAGTATGGAAATACCTCACAACCAGTTAAGAAGAATCAAATGGTGGAAGGCTATCAGTTTAGGGGGCTGCTGTATGCACACTGGAGTGTATGACACCTCTTTCATCCTCTGGCTTCAGATCTTAAACTCTTACCCCGTAGGGATCTTTTCCTTAAAGAAACAAAGCTTACTTTATCTTTAGTGCTCTTTTAAAACCTGGATATATATAAAAAAATAAAAAATAGAGAGGTAGAGACTCTCAGTGGCTCATGTTAGAATTCATGCCCAATGGTCAATTTTCTGGTCAATAGTTGAGGACTAGCTTGATTTAAAATCATATCCTCATTTAGTCATCAAATACAAGACATATTTCTTTCATAATATAACTGAACCACGCTCGCCTACTTTTCCCCCTTGTTTCATCCCTGCTGGAGGTATTTCATATTACAGCCACAGGCAAAGGCTAAGGGTAGGATGTGCAGTGGTTCCCCAACCTGACAACCCACCCACTTAAACCTACAATCTAAATGAAAACAATGTGCATGTTACTACAGCATGAAGACAAATCTCCTAGCACCTCAGATCGCCACCACAAACCCCTTTAGTGAGGAGTTCTGGACCTCCCATTGGCTGGCAGGCAGGAAGGAAACTAGTTTGTATAATCATTGTGTCCATAATTAAATACCAAATCCACCTTGTGGATCTATAAAAAAATATATTTTGTGGTTCTTAAACAATTTATTTCTGGGATGGTGCTACTCTCAAAAGACACAGATGGCAAAAGGAGGGGCATTCCTAAGTTATAGGCCAGAAAATAAAATGTTAAACAATCTACATATTATGAGTTAGCATTCAAATAATATGCTTCTGACTGCATATTCTTAAACACTGATGTATTTCATAATCCCACTAGCTCTTAAAATAAGATAACTATTTCAAGTAATTGCTCTAGATGTCATTAAAAGTGATTCCACAAGCACCAAACCTTGACATTCTAAACAGATACATTGTTCCACAGATCAGTGGCATCCATCTGGCTGGAGAAAGTAATTGTAATGCAGGGAACAATTCCATGTTCTCCTCCATCACTTAATGATCAATTATATTTCACTGAGTAATTTATAAGACCTATTAGGTTATTCCAGGAGCAACACAGCTGCTAACCTCTGCATGGCCTTGCTGGCATAGTAAATTAACCTGCACAGTGCATGGACCATTTACTGAAAATATATATTATTTTTCTGTTTTGAGGGGAGAGGACCCTTGCTCAAATCCAAGACCATATGTTAAGCTCCAGATTCATTAAAAACAAAACAAAACACAAAACAAAACAGTAACTTTACAAAGCAATGAAGCAGAGAGACTGGAAAATGACCCAGGAACCACTTACGGAGCTGGATATTGCCATCTCTTTATTACACTGACATTTACCTGAATGAGGTTGGCAGCTGGGTTCCTTCTTTTCTCAAAGTGTTTCTGGCGGTGCTGTTCTTGTACCTTTAATGCAAAACCCGAGCCAAGGATGCCCTGGAACAAAATGCAAAAATAGTACTCAAGATTTTTTTCAAAAGAAGTGTTAAAAAATTACAAAAATTAAACAAAAACAAAAACAACCTCTAAAATGAGTCTGAGCAAAGACAAATAGTGTACAACCTATCCATAAATACAATAACAAACGTATTTAAACAAACACTATTGACCTCTATCACAATACCAGTGGCCAATGGTGAATTGGTGGGAAAGATTGCCTAGAAATACGACAACTTCTGTTCATTAGTAAATCAACCAGGCATTGCCATTTACTGTCTCTTATGATATAGTAGAGGAACCCTCCTTACAAAGAACAACCACCATTTAAAAAATATCTTGCGTATGGCTTTCTCTGTAACATTTCTTTATGCCTAAATTAGAGTAAATAGTCCTATCCAGTGATGGAACATGGAGGACATGAATTCTGGTTTTGGACAGAAGCAGGTTTTAAGTTTGGAACAGTTAAAATTTCTGCTGTGGACATGGGAGTTTTTCTAGCACTTTGATGAAACGACTCAATTTTATTTCTATTTATAAACTGGGGAGCAAGGGCTGTGTTTAAAATCTGTCCCAGTTTAGTCCTCAGGGTGCTATAATTCTACACCTACCAAAAGGGGCGGGTTGGGAAGGACAGTTTTCCAGATGAGAAACAAACACTCAGTTTTTAAGAAGTAGAAGGTTTTCCATTTTGCCGGTTTGTACAGTAAAGACAAGAGCAGGGGTTATTATTGCAAAACACATTCCTGTTTCCCTGAGTTTTAATCTCACACTCTTGGCATTCCTACCTTTTTGGTTTTGACTCACCTATTTAGATTTTGGGGTTAGTAAGATTAGTATGTCCATCTTCTATTTATGTTAAATTTTTGGCCGGTTTGCTTCCTTCTGCATATCATGTTGATCTGCCAAAATTATGGCTCTTTGAAATGTTCCCTCTTCTCAGTTTGCTTTGGTCTAACACTGTGGAATCAAGATGCCGTGTGTCAGCCCTGGGGTGGCTTTGGGAGCTTGCTGAATTCAATCTCTGGGCTTTATGAGTCTCCACTTGATTGGCATGGGACATGGAGCTGCACCGCTTTGAAGCCTGTGGTTTTTCTTGATAGCTATAAATTACTAGCTCTATATTAAACTTCAAGGAGTCTCACCCTTAGGTGAGAGATGGGTGTCTGGTAAATGGGAAGTCAATATTTGCCACAGATAAGGAATGGTTGTTTTCTTTTCTTTATATCTTTAAAGTTACTCAAAGATGGTATCAGCGGCCTGGGGAGGTGGTGGGTTTCTCCTCTTTAGGAGGTGGTAAGTCTCAGCTGAATGAAAAGTTGGCTAAGATATTTTTGGACTCTAGATAACCTTTAATCTTCCTTCTTATCTTGAGAAGCCACAACTCTGAGTACATCTGTGACAATAACCAGATAAGTAATGTGATTACAGTAGTCCTCCCAGGTATTCATGGGGATATGTCCCAAGACTCCCAGTGGATGCCTGAAACCACAGATAGTACTGAACTCTCTATATACTACTTTTAACTATACATACACACCTATGATAAAGTTTAATTTATAAATTAGGTACAGTAAGAGATTAACAACAACAGTAATAAAATAAAAACAATTATAACTCTATACTGTAATATAAGTTATGTGAATATGGTCTTTCTCTGTCTCACAACTGATTTGATAACAGAGATGACTACTAATGAGTGGTAGGGTTCACAGCATGGATACACAGGACAAAGTCCCAGATGGGACGAAGCATGCGGGCCAGAGATGTCATTGTGCTCCTCAGAAGGGCATGCAATTTAAAACTTATGAATTGTTTATTCTTGGAATTTACCATTTAGTATTTTCTTTTTTTCACATAAGCTTGTTCTTTATTTATTTGAATATATATCCACAAATTACATTAGAAATCAGCATTCACAGTGATTAATGTAGAGCTCTAAGATTTCTATTTCAAACTTTCAGTCAGACTTCTATTTTTTAAATTAATTTATTTTTGTTACAGATGTTTCTCCCCCTTCCTCCCCTCCCAGTTTTGTTGTCCGTGTCCATTGTTCATGCATTTATGCATATAAATTCTGTGGTTTATCTCTCCCCCACCACCCCCTCTTCTGGGGAATGTCAGTCTGTACCCCACTTCCATGTCTCTGGGACTACCCCATTCCTTAGACTGTTATGTTCATTATGTTCCACAAATAAGTGAGATCATGTGATATTTGTCTTTCTCTGCTTGGCTTGTTTTGCTTAGGAAAATACTTTCCAGGTCCCTCCATGTCATCTCAAAGGATAAGAGCTCTTTCTTTCTTACAGCTGCATAGTACTCCATTGTTTATATGTACCACAGCTTTTTTATCCATTCGTCTACTGATGGACATTTGGGCTGTTTCCAGATCTTGGCTATTGTAAACAGTGCTGCTTTGAACATGGGGGTACATATATTCTTTCTTTAATATTTTCCAATCAAGATTGACTATTGGTAACTGAAACTACAAAAAGTAAAATCGGGGATAAGGGGGACCACTGTATGTTTATAATACAGTTGTATGATAATACTATTTGCTATTAATGAGCAAATTATTAATTAGGATAAATCACTATCATAACATTAGAAATTACATCATAGGGTATGTTTTCCATCTCTTTCTCGGAGACTGTCCGTTGTTAAGATCTTCATCTCATACAGGTTGTGTGTACTCAAACTGAACTTTATAAAAACCTGCACCATATGATCTTGTTTTTAGATATAAACATTTCCCCTCCATTTAGAGGTCATAAAGATGGCCCTCAATTTTCAAATCCAGATCAACTATAGTCATTCCTAACTCCTAAATTTTTTTCTGCTATATAACGTCACTAAGGAAAGATTTGGTGATTTTCCTTTTGATGTCAATTTTTATGAAGTATAAACATGCAAGAGAATATGAAACATTAGAATGTATAGCATATATTTATACTATGTATTATGTATAAGCCACTCACATGCAGTATAATTCTGATTTTGTAGACATTGAATTAACAGCAATAGCTACCATTTTGGAGCACTTAGTGTGTAGATATGAAGTTCAGAGTTAAATCCCTATTTTTCTAAAAAATTTATCTTTATTGTTGAAAGTATTACAGATATCCTTCCTTTTCAGAGATAAATCCCTTTTGAAAAGTGAAGACAGGCCCTACAAACCACAGCCTTAGCATCAGTCAAACAAACTAAAATGTGCCAAAAATCATATTGGTATTGCTTAGAAATATGTATTAGTCAATGGTAAACGTTTGCTACATCTCTTGTGTCAGACTGTACTTTAAAGCAGTTATTGAACTAAGTCTGCTCATCATCCCATTATGGCTCTATTCCAATTTTCTTCCACTTCTCTTAGTATATAGCATAGTGAACCTAATTAGAAGTCTGTTAAAATAAAGACTTGGAATTCTTAGGATATATTCCTAGGAGTGGGATCACTGGGTCAAATGGCAGTTCAATTTTTAATTTCTTGAGGAAACATCACATTGTTTTCCATAGTGGCTGCACCAGTCTGCATTCCCACCATCAGTGTACTAAAGTCCCCTTTTCTTCACACCCTCCCCAGCACTTGTTGTTTGTTGATTTATTGATGGTGGCCATTCTGGCAGGTGTGAGATGAAACCTCATTGTCATTTTAATTTGCATCTCTCTGATGATTAGTGACATTGATCATTTTTTCATATGTCTCTTGGCCATTTGTATGTCCTATTTGGAGAAGTGTCTATTCAGGTCCTCTGCCCACTTTTTAATTCGATTGCTTGTCTTCCTTTTGTTGAGTTGTATGAGTACTTTATATATTTTTGAGATTAACCCCTTATCTGATGTATCATTGGCAAATATGTTCTCCCAAACAGTGGGTTCCCTCTTCATTTTGATGCTGGTTTCTTTTGCTGCGCAGAAGCTTTTAAGTTTGATGTAGTCACATTTGTTTATTTATTTTTTCTTGTTTCTCTTGCTCTAGGCAATGTATCAGTGAAAATTCTGCTATATAAGATGTCTGAGATTTTGATGCCTACGTTTTCTGCTAGAATTTTTATGATTTCATTAGTTACATTTAAGTTTTTTATCCATTTTGAGTTTATTCTTGTGTATGGTGTAAGTTCATGGGCTAGTTTCACTTTTTTTGCATGTAGCTGTCCAATTTTCCCAACACCATTTATTGAAGAGACTGTCTTGACTCCCCTATGTTCATAGCAGAGTTTATCACAATTGCTAAGATCTGGAAACAGCCCAACTGCCCATCAATAGATGAGTGGATAAAAAAAGCTGTGGTACATATACACAATGAAATACTATGCAACTGTAAACAAGAAAGATCTATTACCCTTTGAGACAGAATGGAGGGACCAGGAGAGCATTATGCTGAGTGAAATAAGCCAATCAGACAAAGACAAGTGTCACATGATTTCATTTTCATGTGGAAGCTAATGAACAAAATAAACTGGTGAATAAAATAGAAACAGAGGCATAGAAACATGGCATAGAAACAGACCAAAGAAGCTCAGAGGAAAGGGTGGGGGGCAGGAAGAGATTAACCAAAGAATTTATATGCATATATGCATAACCCATGGACAAAGCCTAGAGGGTGATGAAGACCTTGAGGGGATGGGAACCAGGAGGGGAGGGGCAATGGGGAAAAAAGGGGAAACATCTGTAATACTCTCAACAATAAAGATTTAAAATAATAATAATAAAATTAAGTGTATTATTTATATATATTAATGTAAGTTTATATATATATATATATTCCTACACACACACACACACACACACACACACACATATGTGTGTGTGTGTGATTCCTTCAATTATTGACATTAACAGATATAAATTTTTAGAATTTGAGTTTTGTTTTAATCTATTTTCTAAGATCACATAACTTACATTTTTAGGTTTTGAATGTTAGTATTATGCCAAGAGGTGCTACATAAACACCAAGTGGAAAACACCATGTTTTAGTAAACATTTCAAATATTTATCCCTGTTCTCTTCCAGATTAAATGCGCCTCATTTGTACCCCACACATGGCCAACAGGCTACACTGAAAGCTGCTCTGGGCAGGTGGGAAGGGAGCATCCTGAAGAGGAGAGCGCCCTGCCCCTCAGGGCGATGCTGGAGCTGGGGCTGGAGCTTGAGAAGGGTGACCTGTAGGACTCTGTGATGTGCAGGAGAGTCCTCCTGCTTTGAGGGAAAGATAGGCAAAGGCTCTTTTCTTTCTTGGTCCTCAGGTTTCCTGGGTAGGAGAAACACCAAACAGTGGAGAAACCCCATAATCCACCTCTAACTTTCTTGGCAAAATGCCAATGTGCTGTTGTAAATCTTAGTCAGACAACACATCGGCTGGCCGGTGCACAGACAAGTGGCACTTCCAGCCACCTTGTTTTCTTTAAGGTACATATGAACAATTTAGTTTTCATTAAATACATGACAACTCTGCACCTAATGTGAGGTTGCAGTAAAAAGATCTATGGTAAAGTTACTTTTCTTGGTATTGTTGGAGAATGTTCCATTCTCTGCAAGAACGTTTTTAGATTACTAACATATATTAATTTAATTGGCAGATGTAAAAATTATAATCATTTTATTGGGAAACACTTCCAAGAATGATTATTTAGTCTCTGATCTTGAACTTAATAGAGCAACACAGTTTAATTTCCCTGAGATGGTCCAGAATATCATGATGGGCATCAGATACTTCCCTGTGCTGGATGCAACCAGCTCTTAGGGGTGCCGGGACCCTACCACTAACTGGCCCCAGGTCTTTACACATTTGGAACACTTAGGTCTGCTCGATTCTTACAGATTTTCTAATCTCTCTCTTCTTAGTCTTTCACCATCCCTTCCTGTTGTAGTGTCTGTTCTATCAGCCTGTCTCTGTGTTTCTGGTTACAATCGTCAAAGAATTGGGAAACTATCATCGTTGCTCTCAAATGAGAAAAGGTTGTGCACAGGCCTCCAGCGGTTCGCCGATGAGGACAGCACACACACTGTTGTCGACCTGAACAGTCCAGGGCTCGCCTCCATCCCTGTCTAGTTTGTCACTGGATTAGAGTTGCTGTTGCACATGTGGCCTCAGGTTAAGTATAGACACAAACACAGCATGTACTTAGTGCCATTATTTTGGGAAAAAAGTCCAAGACTGCATCTTATTGCTTCCAAAGGCATTTTCCTGCAGGGAATCTGGTTATTGAGTGAATCCTGCTCTCTTTTAAACTGTCGAGGTTGCCAGGTAAGTTGACTTTGGATAAGTGAGGTTGTTTGGACTGTCCTTAGTTTTGTCATTTCTCAACACATACATCTGGATGCATGTAGGAAAACATTACATTATCACATAGGTCTTCACCAAGTTTCTCAGGGTGTAATACTTCCTTCATTATATTGATGAATAAATGTACCCAAGGTTATTGTTATGGCTGAATGGCTTCCCTGCAAAATTCATATGTTGGAGTCCTAATCCCTAGTACATCAGAAGGGGGACTCTATTTAGAGATAAGTTCTTTACAGAGGTAGTCAGGTAACAATGAGATCATTAGGGTGGGCCCCGGTTCAATAAGACTGGTGTTCTTACAAGAGAAAATTTGGACACAGACATGTGCGGAGGGAAGACAATGTGAAGACTCGGGGAGAAGACGGCCATCTACAAACCAAGGAAAGAGGCCAGGATCACATCCTTTCCTCATAAAGAACCAGCGCTGCCACCTTCTTCATTTTGGACTTCTAGCCTCCAGAACTGTGAGACAATGCATTTCTGTTGGTTAAACCACCAGTCTGTGATACCTGTTCCAGCAGCCCTAGCAAACTAGAACAGGCACAGAGGTAGTTCGTGACGAAACTGGAATTCAAAATGAGGTCTAATGCTCAAACTCCTGCATGGCCTTTTCAGTCTTTTCAGTCTCTCCTCGGTAATTATGTGTGGTTGGGGCAGAACCAGCTGGTCAGTCTGGAGTTGGCCGTGGGAAGGACAAGCTCCCTCTGCACTCAGTCACAGGTAGAGAAGGAGCCCTGTGAACAACAGGCTGTGGTGCTGGAAACCCCTACTCCCCTGGCTTCCCTTGGAGGGGTGCCCTGGGGTCTCTGGTTGGCAGACTGTGGCAGGAGTCAGCTCATGTCTGGATCAGGACCAGGGCCATTTTCCCTAAAGCATGACTGCTGCCACTGCAGCAAAAACTCCTTTTTATTTGCTCTGTTCCCCCCACGAGGGGTGGCATGACAAAAGTAAGAGTTTGCGGATGGAGGCAAATTGTAATATCTTGACCAATTTCCTTTAAGGAAATGAGAGGGGACACAATGATCAGAAAGACAGGCTTCATCCTTTACGGAGAAAATAATCAGAAGCCTGGGAGAAGATAAATGTGTGCTTCATTCTGATAAGATGCAGAAACTGCTCATTAAGAAAAATCAATGACAATGACGCAAAGAATAAATCATCTGACACTGAAAACCCTTCAAGGTCATGTGATTTTCACTCAGATGGATGGGAAGAGGTAAATACTCAACGTGTGCACATCTGCCTCTTCAGCAGCACACGTTACAAACCAAATTGGAGCCATCAGTTTAAAGAGAAATCTTTAAATCTACACATATTCTAAATGCACTAGTAACCTGTCAATTGAGAGGTGATGCTAGCTGAATTATTATTTGGTCATAAAGACTAGCTGGTATCAAAGTCCCCGGTTAAGTGTCTCCAAGAGAACGTTGTATTGTATAAATTATCCACATAGCTTAATGTAGCAAAGTCAACATTATATCAGAAAAATTATATTCATAAATGATAGAGATATGTTCCTGGGCATATCAATTTGTGAAAGCCCACACTAATAAACCACTAAGATCTAATTTAAACTGCTTTATTTGTGCAAAGATACTCACGGCAGGAAGTGCAAAGAAAGAAATGCCAAGGAGCGCAAAGCCTGCAGAAAGCAATCTTCCCAGCCAAGTTAGGGGAGTTTTGTCTCCATAGCCAATCGTTGTCAATGTAATCTAAAAACAAAATAAATAGAATGTGCAGCTTAAGTACGTGAGAGGAAAGTCAGGACCTATGAACAGGAGGCAAAGCAACGTTTTCACTAAATCGTTATTCAACACGTCTCGGTAGTGCATTTTATTACTGTGCTTTAATTTTCCATGACGCATAACAGAACTCCTCTTTGTTTAAGATAGGGAATAATCTACATACTTGTTCCTCCTTTATAACACAATTTTCCATCTTTTCTAAGTGCATTCAAAGAAAGGTTATTTAAGTAAGTGGATAACCATCAGTGATACAGAAGTGATAGCACCATGGATTTAGGACTGAATCAGTACACAAAACAATAATTTATGTTAATTACGGCTGTTCATTTACTACCTTGGCAGGCACTTCCTAAAGGTCTGCTGTGTGCAAGGTACGTGTTATGATTTGTAGTGGAACAAAAATAAAAGGTACATAGTTCTTGTTCTGAGATATTTACAGCGTAAGAGGGGAGACATGTCACACACAAATTATTAAATTACAAAAGGGCAACACAGGTATTATTATGGTTGCATAATTACTCTGCCAGGGAGTTCAGAGACACAGCTTGGGGGATAGAAGAGGCTTTATCGGGGGAGATGCCATCATACTTAGGCTTTCAGGAAAGAGTAATATTTTAAGAGACAGAGATGATGATCTGGGTGGGGGAATTTGGTGACCAGCTGCACAGGAGTGAGAACAAATTGGGTAGGTTCTGGAAAGCACACCTTGTTCAGTCGGGCTGGAGATGGTGGGTCTAAAGAGGATTAGTGAAAGGGGAGGGTAACCAGATCAGGAAGTGCCTTTGAAAAATGATCATTAGATCAGGTCTCTCCCATGGTCAAACTGCTCTAGGGGCTTCCCATGTCCCATAGAATAGTCCCAGATCCTCTCCAGGGCCTGTGAGGCTCTGCAAGACCTGACAGAATGAAGGGCAATGGAATTGGAACAGTGGCAGTAGGACTATTTGGGAGCGGAGGGTAAAGAGATGAGTTTAGAACTTCAATGGGAATACATTTATTGACTGCCCGGGATGGAGGGGAAGACTAAGTCAACAAGGACTTGATCATTTCAAGGGAAAGATACTTGCACCATAAATAAAAATATAATAATGAGCAAGAAAAAAACTTTGGAGCAAAGATGAAGAGTTTGGTTTTGCAAGGAAGGGTTTTTAAAAGGTCACTACGACTCTGATCTAGAAAAAGTCAAGCAGGAAACTGAGATAGACAGCTTGAGCCTTGAGAGAGAGATTGGGTTTGGCATGAGATTTGGATTTTGGATTTGGGCACAGGGTGATTGTTGAAGTTTTGTGAATAAAAAGATTGCAAAGCACTCAAAGAAAGGGCCCTAAGACACCTCAGGAAACACAGACATTTAAGGGATAGAAGGGAAAGTAAAATCAAAGAATAATAATATATATATTTTTTTAAATAAGAGAACTCAGCCTTGGCCAGTTTGGCTCAGCAGTTAGAGCGTCGGCCTACGAACCGCAGGGTCATGGGTTTGATTCCCAGTCAAGGGCACATAGCTGGGTTGCAGGTTCGATTCATGGCCCAGGGAGTCGGGGTCATGCAGGAAGCAACCAATTGATGTTTCTCTCTCACGTCAATGTTTCTTTCTCTCTCTCCCTCCCTTCCACGCTATCTAAAAAAAAAAAAATTCTTCAGGTGAGAATGAACAAAAAACAAACAAACAAACAAAACCGAAACAAACACAAACAAACAAAAAAGAGAACTAAGAATGAGTAATACAAATGGAAACTTAATGGAGAAGAGAGTCTCACAGAGGACCAGGTGATCCCTGATGTCGGAGGCGCACAGGTGACAAGGAGAATAAGGACTGAGAAAAGAGACAGTTCCTCTGCCCATTTTTTAATTGGGTTCTTTGTCTTCCTTTTGTGGAGTTGTATGAGCACTCTATATATATTGGAAATTAACCCCTTATCTGATATATCATTGGCAAATATGCTCTCCCATACAGTGGGTTGCCTTTTCTTTTTGATGATTGTATCTTTCGCCGTGCAGAAGCTTTTGAGTTTAATGTAGTTCCATGTGTTCATTTTCTCCTTTGTTTCTATTGCCTTAGGTGATGTATCAGTGAAAATTCTGCTGCGTATGATGTCTGAAATTTTGTTGCCTAAAGTTTCTTCTAGGAGGTTTATGGATTCATGAGTCACATTTAAGTCTTTTATCCATTTTGAGTTGATTCTTGTGTATGGTGTAAGTTGATGGTCTAGTTTCATTTCTTAGCATGTAGCTGTCCAATTTCCCCAACACCATTTATTAAAGAGGCTGTCTTTACTCCATTGTATGCTCTTGTCTTTGTCAAATATTAATTGAGCATATTGCCTTGGGTCCATTTCTGGGTTCTCAGTTCTGTTCCACTGGTCTATATGCCTGTTCTTGTGCCAGTACCAGGCTGTTTGGATTACAGTTGCTTTGTAGTATAACCTGAAATCTGGTAATGTGATCCCTCCAACTTTGTTCTTTTTCAAGATTGCTGTGGCTATTCGAGGTATTTTTTGGTTCCATATGAACTTTTGAAGTATTTGTTCTAGTTCTGTGAAGTATCTCGTTGGTATTTTGATGGGGATTGCATTGAATCTATAGATTGCTTTGGGTAGTACGGACATTTTAATGATGTTAATTGTTCCAATCCATGAATAGGGTATGTGCTTCCAGGTTTTTATATCTTCCTCTATTTCTTTTTTCAATGACCTGTAGTTTTCTGCAAATAGGTCCTTTTTTCTTTGGTTAAGTTTATTCCTAGGTATCTTAATTTTTTTGCCGCAATGGTAAATGGGATTGTTTTTTCAGTTTCTCTTTCTGTGAGTTCATCATTGGTGTATAAGAATGCTGTTGATTTCTTGACATTAATTTTGTATCCTGCTACTTTTCCAAATTCATTTATTAAGTCTAGTGAATTTTTGATTGAGTCTTTGGGGATTTCTACGTATAGTATCATGTCATCTGTGATTAATGACAGTTTCACTTCCTCCTTTACAATTGGGATCCCTTTTATTTATTTATTTTTTCTGTCTTATTGCTGTGGCTAAGACTTCCAGTACTATGTTAAATAAAAGTGGTGAAAGTGGGCATCCTTGCCTTGTTCCTGTTCTTTAGGAAAATGCTTTTAGGTTTTGCCTATTGAGTATGATGTTGGCTGTAGGTCTTTCATATATGGCCTTTATTATCAAGATATGATCCCTCTATTCCCACATTGCTGAGTGTTTTTATGAGAAATGGATGCTGGATTTTGTCAAAGGCTTTTTAAGCATCTATTGATATGATCATGTGGTTTTTATTCTTCATTTTATTTATGTGGTGTATCACGTTTATTGATTTGGGAATATTGTACCAGCCTTGCATCCCTGGGATGAATCCCACTTTGTCATGGTGAATAATTTTTTTGATGTATTGCTGGATCCGATTTGCTAGTATTTTGATCAGGATTTTGGCATCTATGTTCATCAGGGATATTGGCCTGTAGTTTTCTTTCTTTGTAGTGTTTTTTTCTGGTTTTGGAATTAGAATTATGCTGGCTTCATAAAATGAGTTTGGAAGTCTTCCTTCTTGACTTTTTTGAAATAGTTTGAGGAGAATGGGTGTTATTTCTTCTTTGAATGTTCGGTAAAACATCCCCGTGAAGCCATCTGGGCCTGGGCTTTTGTTTGCTGAGAGAGTCTTGATTACATCTTCAATTTCCTCTGTTGTTATTGGTCTGTTCAAGTTTTCTATCTTTTCCTGGGCCAGTTTTGGGAGTCTATGTGTTTCTAGAAATTTGTCCATTTTGCATAGATTGTCAAATTTGTTGCCATATTATTGTTCATAGTAGATGTTAACAATCTTTTGTATTTCTGTGGTGTCAGTTGTTACTTCTCCTGTTTCATTTCTGATTTTGTGTATTTGGGTTCTCTCTCTTTGTTTCTTGGTGAGTCTAGCTAAGGATCCATCAATCTTGTTTATCTTTTCGAAAAACCAGCTCTTTGTTTCATTGATCCTTGGAATTGTTTTTTTGGACTCTATGTCATTTATTTCTCCTCTGATCTTTACTATTTACTTCCTTCTACTTGCTCTGGGGTTCTCTTTTTGTTTCTCTCTAGTTCTTTAAGTTGTGAGGTTAGAAAGTCTATTAGAGATTTTTCTTGTGTTTTTTTTTTTTTTTGAGGTAGGCCGGTAGTGCTATGAACTTCCCTCTCAGAACTGCTTTTGCTGCATCCCATAGATTTTGTGTTGTTGTGTGTTCATTTTCATTGGTTTCCAGGAAGTTTTTAATTTCTTCCTTGATCTCCTTGGTAACCCATTCATTGTTTAATATCATGTTAGTTAGCCTCCATGTGTTCAAATGTCTTTGCATGTTCTTGTTGCAATTGATTTCTAGTTGCATGGCATTGTGTTCTGAGAAGATGCTTGATATGATTTCAGTCTTCTTGAACTTGTAGAGACTTAGTCTGTGTCCTAACATGTGGTCTATGTTTGAGAATGTCCCATATGCACTTGAGAAGAATTTGAATTCTGTAGATTTGGGGTGTGATTCTCTGTAGATATCTATGAAATCCATTTGGTCTAGTGCTTCATTTAGAGTCTGTGTTTCCTTGCTAATTTTTTGTCTAGAGGATCTATTCAGTGATGTCAGTGGGGGTGCTGAAGTCCCCTGCTATGATTGTATTGCTATCGATTTCTCCTTTGAAGAAGATTTTTAATATATTTTGGTGCTTCTCCTATATTGGGTGCATATATGTTTACCAAGGTTATATCTTCCTGTTGGATAGACCCTTTCAATATTATGTAGTGGCTTTCTTTGTCTCTAGTTATGGCCTTTATTTTGAAATCTGTTTTATCAGATATGAGTATTCCTACCCCAGCTTTTTTTCCTTTCTGTTTGTTTGGAAGATTTTTTTCCATCCCTTCACTTTCAACCTATGTGAGTCTTTTGTTGTGAGGTGGGTCTCTTGTACTCTAGTCAGCCTTTGAATACTGGATTCTTGACA